ATTTGTGCATTTATGTATGTCTGTGCGTTTGTATTTGTGCGTGTGTTTGTGTTTATATGTGTGTTTGTGTGCGTGTGTGTGTGTATGTGTGTTTGTGTATGTTTTCGTGTGTATGTGTGTGTGTGTGAAAAGATAGCTAGATCATAAGAGGAATAGACTGTAAATGAATTACGGTCCCATCGACGGAAATCAAGCGGCAGCCTTTTTTGAGGGATCCAACGTCCAAGCAGAAGAAAAAACGGAATTAAACTTCTTCCCACTCGTAAATCCAACGTTTCTGCGTTTAAATTCACAAACGTAATTACGATTAATTCTTTGTACCATAATATTTAAAAAGAACACTCTAGACAAACATTTTAGCGATTTTGGTAGATACTAAAAAAAGAACTTCGACCTGCCATCTGGAGTGAGACAAGGATGTGTGTTATCACCGCTATTATTCATAATATACAGGGACAAAATTACAAAAGAAGCAAGCCCCAACAGGATAGACCTGAATGAGATGCTGTTTGCCGACGATCAAAGCCCGGCATATGAGAAAGAAGAGCAAATTAAAGAGTACAAAGACAGGCTAAATACACAATATGAAAATCTTAACCTGCAGATCAGTAAAAGCAAAACGGAGACGATGAAAATCAGCAGAACTCCTGGCAACCTTAACATCAGCATCGACCGAAATTTGCTGAAACAAGTCAGCGAGTTAAAGTATTTTGGTAGCATTTTTCGGGAGATGGACGTCTCAACAGAGAAATTGAACGAGAGAACAAAAGGCTAACAGCATCAGCTACCAGCTTGCCCCACTCCTTAAACATCCTAACATCCCAATTGAGACCAAAGCCAAGCTCATTAACTCTATCTTTATCCCCACCTTGACCTACCAGTGCCAGAGATGGACCCTGACCAAAAGTCTGGAACGTAATATAACCACCTGCGAGATGAGATGTCTAAGGAGAGTCGTCAACAAAACCAGAAGGGACATGATCAGAAACAACAAGATCAGAGAAATGATGGGAACAACACCTGTCCTCCTCTGCTTTCGAAGGCAAACGATCAGGTGGTTTGGACATCTCACGCGTATGACACCTCACAAGCTTGCCAGTAAAGCCATCTACAGAAAAGTATCAGGGAACAAGGCAAGAGGAAGTCCAAGAAAGACGTGGATCCAGGGTGTGAAGGATACCCTGAGAACATAATTATAATATCCCACCCAGCCAGGCCATCAAACTTGCTAGAGACAGGGAGCTATTTCTCCCCTCGATGCCCCCAGAGGTACAAGAGGACGAATAAAGTAAAGTTAGTTCTAAAAAACAAATAACGTTATCTTTTTGTCTCACACATTCATAATAAATCAGTGTTCACGCTCATACGCAGTCAATGTCGGACTGGGCGCTCCCTTAGCTCAGTTGATATCACATTGCACTGTGGAGCGGATGGTCCAGGTTTGAATCCCAGACTGGGCGTTCTTGAACGTGTCGTTTTGTGGATTTTTCAATGCGGTTTTCAGTCTATCTGAGACGGACGTTAAATTCGGAGGTCCTGTACCTCTTTAGTAACCTAATTGTGTTGATAGTTGCGTTTAAACCCATAACCCATACACTTGCTACTTACTTTATTGTCGGACACCAACGACATATTATTAATGTATTGTATCACCATGACCTCCGTAGCGGCAATCTTTTTCGTCTGCAATTCGACTTTTTCCATTATCTTTGAGATCCCTCCTTGACTCCACAAGAGTTGAGATAAGTGATAGTCTGGTTGGAGCTGTGAACAAAACGTTTTATTTCCCATTGCTCCGTCAATTGACCTACCTGCATTTCTGTGGCATTGAGTCTTTAGTGCAGGTAACAATGCACACTCTGGTAAGGTTGACGTTTGGTTCTCTGATAATATTATTAGTTCTTCATTCTTTTGGTCCGATGTTTGTTTTGTTATTTTTCGTTACCTGTCTTATTAGAAGGCTAATTACATTTTAATGACCTTCTTTTCAACCGCTTGAGCTATTTTTTTTATGGGGGAGGGGGGTGTTATTTTCTAAATTATTTTCATG